TTTTTAATTTCACAAATTTTTTTTTCACCAAATTTTTTTTAACACCAATTTTTTTTTAAAAACCAATTATTTTTTCTTAACACCAATTTTTACCACTGCAACCGATGATCTGAAACACTTTTGTAAAAAATGATTTTTACAAGACTCGATTTATTGTCTTCACAAAAGAGTTTATTATTGGATATTTATTCAAGCTTCGATCGTCACCATGGATTACTTCTCGCTGGTTATATTGGAAGAATTTTATTTTTTCCATGAGGATTGCCCTTTAGTCCAGGTCCGTCGACCAACATTCCTTGGATCAGTGTCTTAGAATCAGTTGTCCTCCATACCGCAATCGCACATCATATTCCTCTTCGTGAAGTTGGCACCGCAGTTACGTCTGATCAACAAATTTTTTTTGCAATCTTTGCTCTATGAAGACTTTTTATGACTTGTCGCTCTTGATCTTCGATTGTCGAACCATGTATATTAAGTAAGTGGAGTTTATTTATTGAATCTGCTTCAAGAGTTCCGACACCGCAGTTTGGGTACATCAGTATTGCTCAGCAGAGCAAATATTTTTTATGCAAGGTTTTTATTTGTTACTACGATACTTGTGCGAGCAGTTTTCAGCAACAAAATCAACCGGATACTTATGACCTTGGAAGTATTTATATACTTTATGTCTTATGTTTTATCGAGACCCTTCATACATCTAGGGAGAGTATGCGAAGCTCTTGGTATCCAACACTCTCCATCTTGTTTGATTTATTTATTTTTGATATCCTGGCATTGGTTATCAAAAATAGGGAGAGAATATTATGAGCATCCGGATTATTGGTTATGTTTTATAGAGTGTGGATTTTGAAGATATTTGGGAAAAGGAGATTATTTAGTAGTTTTAGGTGCTAACTGATCATGGCTTATCACCTACTTGTTTAGTTAAATCGACGCCATCATGACAGTTTTGATTGAAGTTTGAAGTTCGATCCTTGGGCGGATCACTATAGCTTCTATTCCTTAATCCAGACTTATTTATTATTCCAAATCCATCACAAGATGTTCTCATGTTTTTAGCGTGTTATTCTTTTGAAGAAATTTGGGTATGTTATGATACGAGTACCAGAGATGTTTCAAACTTTTGAAGCCGAAGTGTGACTTGATTACGGAACGTTTAGTTCAAGAGTTATTGGTACCCTTTTGAAGTTGATCAACTTGGTTTACTGATCACATCTTTAGATTGGAATCTCATCTTCAACACCAGAGATGTTGGACTTCGTTTCTTAGAAGACTTTGACTACAGAGATTTCATTTCCGTGTTTCAGACATCACAGACACTTCAGAATTTCAGAGACATTTCAGCATTTGGTTCTCATTATGTATCATTTTATTACCGCACTTTCTAGTTGGTTACTATGTATTTTAGCCTTTTATCACTATATTTGTATCTCTCATCATTTGTGAGCATTTAGGGAGAGATTGTTGGAGCATGGAACTCTACAAATTATGAGTAATAAGTTAGGTTATTTTAGTACCTTTTGTTGTATTCTCTCTCTCTCTCTCTACAAATAGAAAGAGATGGTCATTTTATTTCGTGTGCACCAAATATGTAGTCTTTTGTTTAGTCAGATGGAAACTCTCAGCTGGGATCTCTCCTATCGAGGTGTTCTTCGTTATTCACATTGTAACCTCTCTTTCTAGTAATATTATTCGATTACTCATCTTATGTTCTTCATTTATATTTTTGTTATCGTTAAATATCAAGATCTTATTATTCCGCAACTAGTCGATTGTGCAAATGGGTTCCTACAATATAAAAGTTATATCCATATGACAATAAACATAATATATAATGAAAAATTTACATATTAGTATACCTTTACATATGAACCAGTACACATATCATGAACTCCAAGCAATTATACATGGTTATATGTTATTCACACATAAATATACCACATAAACAAAATATATAATCTAGTATTCATATGTGAATATATAATATAAACATAATATATAATGTAACATTCATATATGAATAAATATTGATACATGTATATGTCATACAAACAAAATATAATATGTAATATTTACATGTGAATATACCTTTAAACGTGAATCCATATATGTGAATTAATTGCAGAAAGCAAATATGTAAGGTTAAATGTTATTCTCATGTGAATATAACTTCAAAGGTGAATAAATATATGTGAATTAAGTACACAAAGAAAATATGGAACGTTATATGTTATTCTTATGTGAATAACATATAAATACACATGAAAAGCTATAAGGAACATTTCATCGAATGGTTGGAGTACATATAAGTTAACTTATATAATCGTGGTAAAATATTCACCAAAAATACAAAAAAAAAAGGCATCATCATCATCATCATCAATTTTCAAGTTCTAATCTTATACAAATAACATATAATGATGCACGATTATATGTTATTTATATTTGAATAACATTTAAAAGATACAGAGCTTTATCGAACATTTTATCAAACACTTGCCGTGTAGATAAGTTAACTTGTAAAATTATGGAAAAGTCTTCATACATAGATTATATAAACTTCACAAATCTATAGATTTTGATTAAGAAAGTCTATTTGATGTTCTCTGCCTTAATTTTGATATTTTTCTTCAAATATGAAAGTTACAATGTAAGGATCGATGATGCAAAGTGAATTTGGTATTGATGATCGATGATATGAATTGGACCTGGTTTTACTTAAACGAACGATATAAAAGTGGATCCAGTGTTAATGATGGCTCATGAATATCCGATGACGTTGAATTTAAATTGATTGATGAATATCATAAATGTGGAACATAATTGATCGATGACGATGAAGATCTAATGATGATGAAAAAAATTGATCGATCGAAATATGTTGATCGAAGAGGATGTTATTATGTTAAGGATCTCATATTGATGATGATCAATAATTCAATAGTTTTGAAGATCTGAGAAAATAGAGAAACATCATGATTTTAAGAAGCCAAATTATGTTGTTATGGTTTAATTAATAAACACAATTACTTATTTGCCCACTTTGATTTAATTATGTCATTCATTTCCAATTTTTTTATATTTAACAAAAAAAAGGTGGTCCGTATTCGTTCTTGCATTCTCGATATATATACACACACAAATGATTCTTGTCGTTTGAACCTAAGTCTATGTAGGGAGAGGTTATATCTTCTCTAATAAATGAAGGGTTTTTTTTGCCACTTGTCACACTCTCATTCAATTTGCCAAATATCATTTTATGGTTATTTTGAGTTAATGTTTTTCCCACATTTCATTTTATGAGTTTTTCTATTTTATTAAATTCCACATAATATTTTAATGTATTAATTGTAATAAATTTTGTAATAAATAGATATCAATTTCATTAATGAACTTACCTTCTAATTTCAAAATTCTCAAAATTACAGCTCATTTGTTTCTTTTATTTACTTAAATTATTTGTTTAAATTTAAAATAAAAGATATTTCCATTATAATAATTCATTATTTTTTCTTATTTTCTTATAAATTCAAAGTTCTTAAATATTTTGACATTTATATTTAGTTTTTTTTTAAATTAACCCATGTAATACATGAGTCTCACAACTAGTTGAGAACATAAAGAGGTTCATAATGTGACAACAATTGTGTCCAATCAGTTTCTAAGGGGTGGTATACGAATTGTATAATTACATTAATGAAATGGTCAACCTAATTAAATGATAGTTTTCTATAATGTTAAAATTATTCATTCCAACTTTATTCCAATTATTTTAAAACAGTTAAATTGAATTAATCTACTCTAATAAATGAATTTTTTTTATGTTACATATCAATTTCTCATGAGTTTTTACACATGTCATTTTGTAGTATTTTTGAACTAAATTAAATCCACATGTTAATTTATTTTTTGAATTTTTTCAATTTTAATAAATTAAAATGCCACATATGACTAATTTATATATATATATATATATATATATATATATATATATATATATATATAACGCATTTATTATATTAAATTATATTAAATATGATAATAAATGAAAAAGAATGCATATCTTCCTTTTTCATTCTAAATTATGGCTAAAATCACTAATATCAACTCCTATTTTCCCTGTTCATTTGTTTCAGATTTATAAACCAGGATCGCATAAAAATATCGACCTTCCTTCCTTCCCTGTTTCCCTTACATTTTCTTTCTTACACATCCTCTATTAGTTACGGTTATATACCCTTTTGTCATAAACACCAATTGGAAGAGATATGCATTCTACCAATAAGAGCGAGAAATATACGAATACACACTGAAAATCTTAAGTAGATTAGCATCATGAAGGTGATTACCTCCATCACAACCCACAACTACCCTCTTTTTCTATCTCCCATTTCTTTATTTTCTTTTCTTTGTCGGTTTTGATACACCAATGTATTCGACTTGTATGGAACCAGTTATTGGGATACCATAATGCACATCAACTATTTTCTTAAATGCTTGGTTTATTTTATTGGGAAACGATACACATTTTCATCTAGATTTGTTATAATTTCTATTCGATTTAGGATATTTTAATAGATTTACTGCTTTGCAACTATAGGAGATAACTTTTATGGGTTAACTATGTTGTATCACTGGTTATATTAATAAGCCCCGACTTGATTTCATATTCAAGATCGATTGTTTGGAATCTTAATTCTTTATTTATTTATTTATTTTTTTGTCTTTTTTAGCAGAATTTAGATTAAAGAAGGTTAGGGTTCCAATATGGTTCGAGTATGCCTTATCTTTTAGTTTTTTTGCCATTAATGTGTTTGTGCTGTTTAGGCTTCCAATATAGTTCGAGCATTTATGTTTTAACGTGTTCGTGCTTTTTAGATTAAAGAAGGTTAGGGTTCCAATCTGGTTCATGCTTTTCATGCAACTATGGAATATGGGATTTGCACACAAGTATGTGGCACCAATGTTCCCATAGTATAATACAAGGGTTTGAGCCAATGTTATACCAAGTTTAGAGAGGAGATGGGTGATCCAGGAGACTTCTGATGAGGCATTGCAATAGCCTTATATTCGTCCTCTATGGAAGAACGTGATATCGATTTTTGACGTGATGACTTCCAAGAGATAATGTTCGACCCAAGGTATATGGCATATCCTGCTGACCTTGCATTTTATGATGCTCATCCCCAATTAGAGTGACTAAAGGCAGTAACTCTCAACGGTTGTCAACGCTTCAAGAATAAGCCATGGTGAATTGTGCCCTTTAGATAACGTAAGAGTCTCTTCAAATCTTACAATTGAGTGTCATTTGGATCATGCATGGATTGAGAGAGGCGATTTGTAGCAAAATCTATATTTGGTCTGGTTATCGTAAGATATTGTAATGCACCCATGATCTGGCGATACCTTGTTTCATCTGATGGGGCTGAGTTGTCGATTAGAGAAGTGGCACTCTTGATGGGTGTTATGACTGGTTTTGCATTAACCATCTTCTGAGTAGTTAGGATATCACGAATGTGTTTGCTCTAAGAGAGAAATAACCCATCATTAGCGGAGATAACATCCACTCAAAGAAAGTGATAAAGTTCACTAAGGTCTTTGAGAGCAAACATTCAATTTAACTGAAACACAAAGTCATCAATAACACTATCATTGTTCCCGGTCAGAATGATATCGTCAACATAGACAACAAAATACATCACTATTCATCCATATTCAAATATGAAAAGGGAGACATCAAATATAGATTTTTGAAAGCCATACTTTATTAAGATTGTCTTAAGCTCAAGATACCAAGCTCGTGGTGCTTTTTTGAGCCCGTAAAGAGCTTTGCGCAACTTACATACATGATTTGGGAATTGCGGGTTGACAAATCCCAGAGGTTGGACCATGTCATTGGTGAAATCCTTTAGCTACTAGATGTGTCGTGTCGTTGGACCATTGTTCCCGTAAAGTATCAGTGTAGTCAATGCCATGTCGTTGGCGAAATCCTTTAGCTACTAGATGTGCCTTGTATTTTTGAATAGAGCCGTCAAAGGATCGCTTCATACGAAAGGCCCAATTGCAGCCGAGAGTGTTTTGGGAAGTTAGAGGTACTAAATCCTAGGTTTTGTTTTGGATGAGTGCATTAAACTCTATAGACATGGCATCCCGCCATTGACGTATTTAAAGGGCTTGGGTGACACATGATGGCTCAAGAGTCTCAGGTAGGGTGTGAGTTCATGTTGTGTTGAGATAAATATGACTGAAGTACCACTATTTTAAGGGCTTAGGTTTTTCTTTGACGAGGTGTAGATGGGAAAGAAACTTGTGGGGATGGTGAATGAAGTTGTGGTGATGGTGGAGGTAGATTATATGTGGGTTGAGGAGTGTGAGATAAATTTTTTGGAGAATGGGTGGTATAGGCGGGGATTGGTGATAGGGGTGGTAGGAAATGGTTTGAGTTATGAGTGATAGTGGTTTCTGGTGGGAGGGTCTGCATAGGAGACTGGTGGGAGGGTCTTGCATAGGAGATACAGTAGGTGTACCTGGTGACACACTAGTGGTTGAGTTGTGAGGGGCTTCCACATAGGCATGCACATCTTGAGGGGATAGAGATTCATCATTACTATCATGCCTCCATGAAAATGTGTGACATCCCCATTTCACCGCCAGAAAAGACCGATTTGTTTATGCTTTGTTTTAAAATCAGAGTAATCGTTTAAAGAAAACTATTGCGGAATTTGTTCGCAAAACAAAATATGATAAGAATCTATCAAAACTTTTCTTGAAGAAATGTATTTTCATTAAATAACAAAATATCGGGATGTCATGTTCCGATACAGACCAAAAGCATAAACAATACTAAATAGACCTTACAACAGTTATTTTCAACTAATGGTCTATATCCAAAGTATCTTGTTAAGTCATCCAACTTATTCACTGGTGCCACTACCTGTAATACAAAGAAAAACTGAGTGGGTCAGGCTTGGGAGCCTGGTGAACATATAGGGTTTTCAACCCACAATAATATAATTATTATATTTAATTATCAAACAATCAACCCAATTACCCATCCCCATTATCTTCTTTATTTCTTAAGGAATTACCGTAAGAATCAACTATCCTTTATTCATTCATTCCTAAGGATTGACCTAAGGAATTGGCACAAAGTCCATTACTGCCCGAGGTTCCTATAACAAACACTAAATCCATAGCTGCCAAGGTTCATCTACACAGTACTAAATCCATAGCTACCAAGGTTTATCTACACAGTACTAAATCCATAGTTACCATTGTATTATAAGGCACTAAGTCCATAGATGCCAGGGTTTTAAGAGTACACCGGTGAACATCAAATCCACAACACCTACAAGTTGCGAGCCTGCTAGTGTTCCACTGGACTGTCTAGAATAGTCCGTGGTTGTCATCCCTACTCTGCTGAATGACGGGGCATCGTTTGAGTAAAGGTTTCACTCATTTTTCACATGTCACCCTCATCTCATGATCTAAATCATCTTTCGTCTCATCCTCAAACTCATATTTCATCACACACCAACTATTTCGTCTACCCATGTTCTACCCAACATATTTGTAGATATAAATTACATATACAGTTTAAACCATTTAAAAACCTGTAGAAAACATTCATTCAACATCCATCTCAAGTAAAAAACAATGTATAAACACATAGCACGTATTTCATAGCAAATACTTCATATCTATGTGTTAGAAGAAAGTAACTACACACTCACTTGTTAAGACGATTGTTAGGTAGCACTACGGCTCTTCAAGTAGAAGTTCTTCTATCAAACCTGGATATCTTCACACATCGGGCTTCTCGTGGGCAGAGCTTCGGCTTGAAACTCTTTTCTCCTCGGGATCTTCGGGGCTTCGGGACTCGCTTCGGGTGTCGGGATGATACCGGGGCTTCAAGGGTGCTTCAAAAGGGCTAGAGAGTGTATCGGGAGTGAGAGAGTGAAGGAATTAGCAACTATGGCCGGCTGCCCTTCGATTTTTATTTATAGGGCCATTTTTCTGGATTCACGTCGTGAATCTCAAATATTCACGTCGTGAGTTCAGTAGTTATCAGGTGCGTCATCGCAACTTGGGTCTGTCAGGCTCCAGAAGACGTTAATATTGAGTTCACGTTGTGAACACTGTGTTCACGTCGTGAACTCTGACACAGTGTCGGGGTTTGTGCCCCGAACTTCAGAAATTCATATCTTTCGCATACGAGCTCCGTTTTCGACGTTCTTTATATGCACGCGTAGGTAAGATTATGCTCTACAACTCTCGTTTAGACTCCGTCGGCTAATTTTGAATTTAACTTTTATTATATTATTTTTAGTACGCTGGGACAAGAAAACTCCGTTAGGAATTCACAACTCCTTCATCTGACGTCCGTTTTCGTCTGTCTTTTTACCGTTGGACTACTATCGATGAGATCTTCAATTCTCGTTTAGATTGTTTCGGCTAGAAACCACTCGATCTCTTATTCGAATTTTGGGCTGCATACCGCTAAGTCGAAACTTCGAAAAATCATAACTTCCTCATACGAAGTCAGATTTAGACGTTCTTTTTATGCACGCTCTCGGTTTAACGTATTCTATGACTTTTGTTTAGATTACTAAGGCTAAATATCGCTCTATCGTAAATTCACTATTTACGTCACGCAGTGTCGTACCGGTTCTGTCACGAAACTTCGACATGTCATAACTTCTTCGTTATAATTCGGATTTCAGCATTCTTTATATATTCAGAAACCTTGCCACGAACACTAAAACTTAGTTAAGATTATTCATTATAAATAATCTTCTATCAAAAAGTCATTTTTGATGTTTATCGTCTCTAAATTGACTAGCCCTGATCTACGGGTGTTACAATTATCTCCCCCTTAGGATGATTACATCTCGGAATCATCAACGAACTAGGTATGGTATAGTGATTCCATACGCTATCTTTCCATCCTAAGTAATAACTGTGATGCTAAATCTTGCACCTGCTCTTCATACTATGTTGGACTATCATTCGTAACCTTCGAGTTACAAAATAAATCCTTATTGAAGACCCCTTCTTCTTCTTAGGATAATTACTTTCCTTTATCTATTGTAACAGACCGATGGGTCATGTTCTAATGACCTTTCATCGTATAATGTAATGCTTAGACTCAAGTCTCTTAGGGTCAAATTCCAGAATGGAATATACCTTCCTTCATATTCTAATGTGATATAATCACATTCTAGCATGTAGCATTTCTAGCTACTAACTTCTTTAACAACGATCGTGATACAATTGATCGCATTTATTTCAATCTTCTGACTTAAGTCAGATGTTACATCGAACTTGGTTCTCTGAACCATGTAACAAACTCATCGTAGTCGGACTCAATTTGATATGACCACTAGGGTCGGAATAACAACCATCTTACCAGTTATTACCGAAACAATGGTAATGACATACTTGAATAAAACGGAATCAATTACTAGCTTCTTGGTAACCTTGTGACTTTCCCTGATCCAAATGTGAGTCCTGTGCTTCCGGTAGTATAGGCCTCTACTACCATTCACACCTACTCATACTCGTCCCAAGTATTGTCTCACAGTTTAACCAAGTCACCATACAAAAATTACACAATCATTCAACACATCAGATAACAAAACCGGGGTTTATATTATTTCTTGAAACGATTACACAAAGGTTTAAGTTCACCCTATACTATGCCTTTTATATTAGGCTACATCATACGAAACTATGGTTACTACATAACCCGATTTTCGGATAAGAAGTCCTCATCCTTGATTCCTCGCGTTATTGTCTGCTTCGTCGAGGATCATTCGGAATGCCCTTGGCTTTGGCGGTGCCTCTAGCCTTGCTACTTCATTTTTCCTTGGGCAGTCTCTAGAGATGTGCCCCTTGCCTCCGCATCCGTAGCATACCTTATCATTATGTGTACAATTCTTGGAATAGTGGCCCATCCTTCCATATTTGTAACAGGTTACTTCTTTGTTGCATGTTCCAAAGTGCTTTTTCTTTCACTTTTCACACCACTTAGCTCCATACCTTTGGTCATCCAGGTTAGACTTTGCGAACTTTCCCTTATTATCAGGCCTTGTGGATCCTTCAAGCTTCCTCTTCTCACCAACTTCAGCTTTCTTCAGACCCTTTTCCTTTATTTGGGTCTCAACATTCTTGGCTGCCCAGATGGCGGCTTTCAATGTGGTTGCTTGTTTGACCATTGGACCAAAGTCCACTGGTAATCCTTTCGCAAACTTGTTGACCTTGGAAAGTTCCATTGGAACTAGGTAGGAAACAAGCTTCATCTTCTCCGTAAAACTAGTAGCATGCTCGGTGACGCTCAATCTTCCCTTCTTCAGATTCTGGAACTCATTGTTGATTTCCAGAAGATCCTGCTCAGAGCAGTATTGCATCTTTAGTTGCATCACAAAATCTTCCCAACATATCTTGCTAGCTTCTCCCTTGGGCATCGAACCAACTAGTAGCTTCTACC